TTAATGAATTTCTGTTTATATTAAAACGTCTTGTAATTGATCAAATTTGACATCCAACTGAAAGTAATATTGGATTCAGTTCATGACTTCATATACTACACTAACTTATTTTTTGAGTTTAAGGAAATGCTTGCTAGAATTCAGTAATAAAAGAAGTATAAATAAATAATATTTTATTAATAATTTTAGTTATTTATAGCTAAAAAAGACTTTATAAAAATTATGCATTTTAAGAAAACTGAATCACTAATAAACAAATAGTCAGATTTTCAGTAAGTTGGAACATGATTAGATAGGGAAAATGAATTTATTTCTTAAAGCGTTCAATTTACATATTCGTTTGAAAAACATTTATGACATATTTGTTGCTCTAGACTAAATATTATTTCTTTTATTTTATTGTAACTAAGAAACGTCATAATAAAATGATAAAGAACATTTACAAAATTTTATTCTTCTCTTAGATACAAATTTCAGTTCCAGAAAAGTTACGAATCTTCGTGTAATATCTAAAAATCATGCGCTTTCCTTGCCTTTCTGAAGTATATTAATTTGAAGCTTTTCATTGAAAACCTTGATTCAGTTTAAAAGTCTAAACACAAATAATCTTATTCTTCTCTTATTCTTAGTCTTTTAGTTTTAGCCTTTAAATGGTCTTCCTTTGAAAGAACAGATCTCGGCATTTGCCAAGATAGCATTAGTACTGTCAGGTTATTTATTTGCTCCTCACGAAATCCTGGGTATCACCAAAACTCAAACAGCAGGAAGAGTACAAAGATTTAGAGTGGCACTATAAATAACGCGGAGTTATTACATTTAGCTACGTGGTATTTATGTTAGAATTTAACCGATATCAAGAACTGAGTTACACGTTTCTATGCACTATAACTTTTACAAGTAAAAATAAATAAATGAACATTTTCGTTACATTAAGGAAATTAAATATTAAAAACATTCATCAAAAGCAAAATTTCTTTCAAAGTTCAAAAATAACATTTGACTTCTCAAGAGGACTTGACACTCAACTTCTGTATTGAACAAACACAAAAGAAAAACTTTTTACACATTCATGGTGATATCTTGTGATTGTCTGAAGACTTCTAGTACCTGAAATGCCAAATAAATCAATTTTTGCTCGTGATTCAAAAAAACTCTGTTTTTATTTCAGTTTATACAACAAATGAATCTCTAAATCACATAATTGTTTTTAAATAGCAGTGTATATACTCGAGGCTCTTTCTTCTCCTGAAATGACTTTATTAATGGATTACCATTTATCCATTAGTTATGACAATACTAAAAGCCTGGACACTATATAATTGAACAGTACCATGGAACATTATCTACTACCAACAACATACTTTTAGGGTTTACAGACTTAAGGAATAGAACCCACCAGAGCAAATAATTAGAAAACAATCCCTGTTTTAAAAGTTTTCCAAATTTTCAGATCTCTGTTTCACGTTTCTTCTCCAAACTGCAGGTAGATCTGCGATTATATTTGGAAATTTAGTTAAACCTGGCTTTTCTTAAAGTTTGAAAATGTATCTTTTTCATGCTTATGAAAACTTACGGATTAAATGACAATAACCAAAACACAAATATTTCAAAATTTCGCTTAATGTTTTTCAGTTTCTTGTAAGGTGTAAATGTTCTGAAAAAGCAGATGGATCGCGTGCGAAAACTCCTGTATTTGTGTTTAATTGCGACTCCATTATGTCAACCTAGAGTTATTTATCTCATTTTGTAATTTTGGGGGAGGGGGAGGGAACAAGATTTTTTTTTTTACTAATCGAAAATCGAGAAGCAAGAAACAAGCAGATTTTTCTAAGGTAAGGCTGTACCGATATTAATTCATACAGGAACTTTAATTAATACAAGGCATACTTCTATGAGAATTCTACTGAAATTTTCCTCTTTAAAGAGTATACAAATAGTCAACTTCTGCCAGATGTAAGGATTTTATTGAAATGATTATTAGTAATTATAAGGCTTCTGAGAAAATCATTAAATGGGCTAATTCACTACATTCTTTGATCTATTAATTAACAGTATTAATGAGTTTCTGACTTTGTTTGTCTTCTGCATAGCCGTCGCTCTCTTTGCCGTGTGCCTCAGTTTCATATCCGCTATTTCCAGCATTTTGTTAGAATAAATCATGATAAGAATCATCCACGATGTTGCAAATCCTGTTTTTCTTAAAACTCTTCTCAATTATTATTAGGCGCCATTTATTTCTATGTATCAATCATTTCCATGAGTCAATCAGTCTTTGTCTTCAAATTCAATCATTATAGGGTACCTCTAGGCGACAAGCTGACAAACAATGTTTATTTCCAGTGATCTATTTCGCAAATAAAATCTAAATTGAAAAACGGAGATGCCAAGGGTTAATATTTAGTTAAGTTTTGCAAGAATGTAAATCATAACTATTCGCCCTCTTTGAATAAACCTTTTACTCAAATGTCACCATGTAACGTGTAACGCAATCATATTTTCCACAGTAAAAAAACTCCGATGTTTTTTCCTAGAAATTATTGAAGAACATAAACAAGAAAAGATACACTCAGAAATAAGAGTAATTTTAGTTTTATGAAGTTTATATTCAGGGTCGCCATTAAAACTACTCAGCTATTACTACTTAGGGTTTCAATCAAAATTGACCTTGCTTAGGTCCCAAACTGATTTCTGACTTGTTAAATGGGAAGAGAGAGGGAACATTGTCCATCAGAAAGTGTATGATAACAAGCAATAAGTGGTACCTTGCAGAAGGTTCTTGTAGCATTTTACTACACTGCGGAATTTTAGGTACTATGCGGCTGTAATTAAAGTGCCCTTACTCAGACTTTCGTGGAGCCCGTTCTGGTTGACATATTTTGTTCAAGCCTGGTATATGCGGCATATGAACAATGCGGGAAAGAGAATTGCAATAAAAATCAACAGCTCAAAGCTCGACGACAATCAGGTGAAAACTAGGCGCATAAAATCAAAAACAGGAAACATAAAAATTTATTTAATCACAGGTTATAAATTCCATTTCCATTCAATGGAATCAATGTACTGTGATTAATCAATATGCATTCAATGGAATCAATGTACTGTGATTAATCAATATGAATTCAATGGAATCAATGCACTGTGATTACTCAATATGAATTCCATTTGCATCAATCAGTTGCTCAAAGCGTGCTATAGCATGTTCCACAATGGCGTGAAAGGTTTTTGATGCATTGAAGAAACAAGGCGTAATAATGTAATTCTTCAAGAACTCTTGCTTTCAACTGAGGTCCACCGTGGACACGATCTTTCAGGAGACTTCACGATCAGAAACCACAAATAATCAGTTCCGAACAATAAGAAGTCTAGGCATTCGTAAAACGCTAAATTACCTCATCATTTCCAAAATCAGAACAAAGCAGTTCCTTCAGTTGTTGGCCAATATTGGCATTGCATCACCTTACATGATAAGACGATAGCCTCTAAGCATTATAGTTCATGTAAAGCAGAAGAAACTGCTACAAAAATTTGCAGTAACGGGGCACTCTCAGTAGCTATTAAGGCTTTTAGAAGGACTCCCTTCAAAGAAAAACGCGTCAAGAATAAAGTCGGCATTAAAATTACTCCATAGACTCATGCAGAGGAATAGTCAGAATGCAGAGCTGTTAATGCACAACATTGGGACTTGCAGTACACAGCATGTGACAGTTCTGAGTTTTCACTGCTCCGCCTAAGACAAAATACGCATCGTTTAACCACAGAATGAACCAAAATCATACATTCTCAACTGTTAGTCTCCCAAAAAATAGGGATATGTATCTTATATGGATACGGTTACTCAGATGAGAAAGTGGTTCGTGATGGTCGACCATCACGAAGTGGTTAGTGACTCTCACTGCCATACCGAAGGGCTAGGTCTCAAATCCCGGAGAAGGCATGGATGTAAAATTCCTGTGCGTTCATAGTAGCCAAAGGTGGTATTCTGTGCCTCCATAATAAAGTGTTCGCAGCTTCCGTCTTAGTAATAGCCAACGCCTAGAATGGCTGGTGCCCGCCATTGGAAATAAAAAAAAAGTCGTGCATGGACACCACTTTAATGTGGATCGCAGAACTTTTCGCTTCGTAAACTAGAGGATAGTCCTTCGGGCATTCGTCGAAGAAACTCAGGAACGGGATTCTGTGTTAACCAGAGTAGCAGCGTCTTCTTTACAGTTTCTTTTGGAATCAGTTTCCATGCCCTTCTTGGCAGAGCATCCGACTGACCAGGCTTTTCAAATCTAAAAATCACCCTTTTTTTATTATTTTTCGACACAGGCCCTTTTCGTAAGCCTTTAAAGCACCAATGTTCTCGCACAGCGGCTAATCTATGACTGCTTTTCTGATAAAATAACTTGACCAGTAAAGTTTGATTTTTCTTCCCTGAATAAATCTAGGATGATTTTACGACATTGACTACTGGCATTTTAAAGAGCTCCTAATTTGCAATAAATCCTTTCTTCATTGCGTGAAAAATTATCTAGTGGAATAAATTTGAACTATTATTTTTTATTGATATTTTCTTCTCCCCATAGTCCATATAACTCACATATTAAGTTTGAATGACGCACGTCACTAAGACCTGGCTTTACGTAGGTTTGAGTGCAATCACTCTAATTATATCTTATACATATATCTTCATTGGTGTGTGCAAAAATTGAATCTTTTTTGGTTTTTAATTGTTCTTATATATCCATAGGACTTGGATATTGGTATTAATTCCATAAATTTTTTTCATTATGACTATTATTATTTGATGCAGCGTATTTTACTTCGAATAATAATAATAATAATAATAATAATGTACAGCAAAAAATATGTTACAAAATAACAAACAAACACAAATAATGCATAAAATTACAATAGTATCAAGGTGTGGCTATCGATGAACCGCTAGCCCGTGTAAGTGCATGGCGACAAATAAATTTTATTTATGATTATGAATTTAAATTTATTGAATTTTCCAGGAACGAATATGGTTCAAGACGCTCCTCATGAAACTAGCCATTCACTGGGTCTTTCGCATGTAGTTGAAAAAAGGGCTCTCATGACTACTTATAACGACTACTTATTAGATCTCTACGACCTCAAATCATTTCAACCTCATTATGGTAAGTTTATCATAAATTGATTACCTGTTCTGATTCATGTTATCAGTACTTTTGGTAATGTTGGGAAACGTACATTTATGCTTTTCGTGCTCTGAGTTTCGCAATAATCTAAATAAAGCCTAAAAATAATTACTACTTTACAGCGCAGCAAAAATCATTGTATTATCGTTTGCTCCTCATAAGGCTGTCGTTATTTTACCATGTCGTGTTACTCGAATTCGTATGATGGAAGACAAAGACTTATCATAGAAACAACAGGATTTAATGTTTCAAATTTTGACAAAACTACATTATTTTCTCTTTATAGTGTATAAATATTAGCTATAAGAGGTATATTATATTATTGTATATAAGTACTAAATAATTATATTATTATCATTATAATAGAGCTTTCATATAGTTTCCTTTCTGATGTAATATTATAATTTTCTAAACTTTCCCCCTTAAAAATTTATTTCTGTTTGTTTATGTTGTCTTGACTGATCTTACTAAATTTCATAGTATGCAGTTAAGTAATTGTAAAAAAAATCATTCGGCTTTTTGCCCTTTTTGACTTGATATTTCCCTAAACATTTCCTACAAGTGTTTTAAATAAATCTCTGGGATAGTTTACATTTTTGTACACTGCATATTAAATTATAAAAATTTTGCTTTACTTAATAGCAACATACTTAGTTTTTTTAATATGCTTATGTTTGTTTGTCCTTCTCCCGTTTCTACTTGTATGACTTGGTTATAAATTAGAATTTTAACAAAGCAAACTGATTTTTGAACAATGTTAATGCAAAAACGCATTGCAAAGATGCTTTGTAATATAAGATTCTCTGTTATTCTTTGATCGTATTATACTAAAATCTGTATTGTTGGAATGTTACATGGCGGCTGCTGGTACATATTGCGCAGGAATTCGTTCCTCTGCCATACTTCATTCTTCTGAAATGACCGCGAACACGTTTCCTCTCATTAAATTTGAGTTATAACTACAAAACTTGCTTGTACCACATGAGAGAGCTCAAATATAGTATCTTAAATCCCGATTTGGGATAAAATGTTTTCATACCGTTTTATAAACGGAATTCTCTTTATAGGAAGATGTAGCTTTTCACTAGACTAAACGCTTCACATTTAGTAGTTTCAATTCGTATTCCAGAAGCTATAAATATTTATATCAAACCCTTCCAGCGTAGATAGAATATTTGCTTTGCTAAAACCCAGACCCGCCGTTTATTAAACTCACCGATTAATAAAATCAGAAGTTTATAACTTTCAAATTTCCGAGAAACAGAACAAGTACAAACTAATAGAAGAAAACCGCTTTTTATTAAATTGATCTTCGCCCTTTATAAGACTCAGCTTTCCAAAACACTGATACTTCAACAACAGAATTATCTAATGGTATCTATCAAGGCATTTTGTAGTCCATCTGTTTAACTTATACTGAAAACCGTAGCCTATTTATCGCTCATATGTGTAGTGCTTCAATAAAACCGGTTTGGCCTAAATTTCGGCTAATGTGGTTTTATCCTTTCCGTGCCTTTGACTTATAAACACTATTTGGGAGGCCTTTTGTCTAGATTGGCAATGAGAGAGACAATTTCTTCCTCTTAAAGTTTAAAAGAAAAGAGATTTGTTACACATACAGTAAATGAGCGAGTGTTACATTATGTTTATAATAAAGTCTCGGAATACTTCATGCTTCATGAAATAGTTTTTAGCATTATCGGTGTTTGAATGAAGGGAAGTGATCGGTTTAGGTCTAAATGAAAAGATTTAAGCCTGGAATGATAGGATAAATTGTTAAACGATTCCGATACTCTTTGCAAGTGGAACCGAAGAGAAAGTACATTTAAACTTAGAACTTCCCAAACAGCAATATACAGTTTTAACAAAAAACCAACTATGAAGAATTAATAGAAAATGTAAATGTCTCAAGGTAGCGCATAGTCATTGAAGCTGCTTTTCTAGACTGATTTCAAGCCATGACGCTAAATATGTTTCGATTTTTAGAGTTCTCCTGAGCAGAAAAAAAACTGTGTAATTCACTAAAATACTAAGAATATTATTCCAACTGAGTCGTGACTCGTCTAATTGAAAGAGAGAGAGCACGTTCTCCATCAGAAAATGTATGATAAGATAGGCGGACTGCGAAAGGAATATCAGCCACGTGAAACTTATAATACAGATGAATCTGGTCGGTTTTACAAAGTATTTCAAAAATACAAATTAATGTTTAAAACTGAAACAGCAGCTGGATTTCAGTAACGAAAAAAAAAAAGAGTTACTGTACTATTAATATGCAACATGGTTGTAATAATTAAGAATAATACCACTGGTTACTGGTAACAGCAGAAAATCTCAATGCTTTAAAAGAGTCAAGAATTTACGTTAAACTTACCGTAGCAACGGCCATGACAAACCATGACAGCCCGCGCTGATGATCAATGCCAGCGTGTAGCGTAAAGCAACATAATTCAGCACTAGAAATTGAAAACCTAATCTAGTATGTCAGAGGTCTCATACGTCTATATCAGAGCTTTAATATCAAATAATTCGTGCATAACAATAGTACTACCATTAAAAAGCTAAATATTTTTCTAGTTAATAATTTCGTAATTTCAGTAATGCACTGTGCATCAACAGATTCCAGAACTAAATGTTTAAAATCTCGAATTTTGAAAAAAAAAAAAAAAAACACTTTATCACTTATTTGTCACATCTACATGCATTCCTTTAAATGTGGTACATGATCTTGAATAGCAGAGTTTCTGTATATTAACAGTTCAGTCGTTTGAATCATCGTTAATTGTCTGGCCCATTTCTTAAATATTTGTAAGGCTTTCCTTCTTTTGAAAATATAACTTCACTTTATGAACAGATCACGCCAAACCCGGAAAAAAGTGCTTATGCTTGAAGTTGCACTATGCGAAGAGATGTATACTTTCTCGCAGTTCAGTTTTTGAATCCATAATAGCTAATATCGAATTCACAAAACCATTGCTGGATCATTCATAATAACACTCCTGTCATTAATACCATTCATACCATTAACATCCAAAACATTAACTGCTATGATTTTGAAAACTTATATACCTCACTTCCTCTAGAAGAAATCTATACCAGTCTACTTGATGTTGTACCAAACTTTTCCCTAATATACTCAATATCATGACTCTTGACAAATGGAAAAACCTACCTAAAATGCACACTTTTTCATAACTACATCAAGTTTCAAAATCAACTTTTTAAACAAGTCAGAGGATTGCCAATGGGCTTACATTCCAGCACCTCGATCTGTAATATCTTTTTATTTGTCAAAGAATTTAACTTCCAAAAAAATCTACAACCACAAGAGTTAAATTACTACAAACACACCTACAGATATATTGATGACCTTATTACAATTAATAATTTTGGTAAAATTGAACACTCCGAGATTTATCCGAATTGTCTTACACTTAATAAAACTAATAATTCACAAAATAGCATAGACTTTCTAGATCTTCAAATCATTAACTACAAAAAAATTTTACTTTTTGACAAAACAAGAAACTTCAATTTCAATACTAACAAATTAATAAATTGGAACTCCAACATATCCAAAAAAGTAATTAACAATACTATAATTAATCAAGTACAACGAATTAAAACTATATGCACGGATACAATAGATTTACAACGCGAAATTTTGATCCTTATCAAAATTCTCAAAAATAATCTAATTCCCTTTCAATTTATCAACCATTGCCTTAAAAGAGCAGGCGTTAAATACTCACTCTAAATCATTTAACTGATAAGGATATGATAATTTATTCCTAAACCTGAGAAAGCGGTATAAGTTGGATGACTGTCAGTTGGAAGATTTGTATATAGTGTAATTACTCAATTGTATATATTGTAAAAAGCTAATTGTCTTCAGACATATACTGTTACTATACTGTTACTAAAAAAATGGGCCTATTTCATGCCTTTAGACTGTCTATTCGCTCTTGGACAGTGAAAATGCCTTTTTCTTTTCTTAAATTCTTAATCATTTCGACACGACAATTAGCCAGAAATTAATTAATTTCCATTCACTAGTATTTTCAAAAAAATCTTAACAGACGGTCTCTCTCAGATAAGAACTCCACAAAATACATCCCTCAAGAATTCCAAGTCCCACCCACTACCATAAATTACTTCACCCAAGTCTTACCGACTGATATTATTCAAAGCCCCTACTGCCGCTAAGAATTTTCGGACACCCTACACTTCTGAGTCAGACACGAAGAGAACACTTTGCCAACTCCCCCACTAGAAAGAATGTAAGTTACTTAATACCTTTTCTGGCCTTTATATCTTCATGTACATTCACTGATCTTATTTATTTTCTATATTATTTTTATATTTTCTTTGATTTGTTTTTACAAAGTTTGCATTATTTATCTTTTTTTATAATCTTCTATGTTTATTTCAACTTTACTTTGAATTCGATTTCATAATGACAATTTCCAATGTTTAATTTCTACAAATAATATAGTACTCAAATGCATAAACATGAAAGTGTCGGGGACGGTTACTCGAGTTTTATAGGATTTCTCTACAGTAATTGATTTTTACTCCAAATTGAATTGACTAAAATGCTTCATAAGAATAAGTTCTTTGAGTATCAGCATTGGTTCATAATTCCTACTATTCGCGGAAATATTTGGCCTGACTAGAATTGCCGGTTTGGCTTTAAACTTATAACTCGAGTAAAGACGAAACACTTTCGTATTTACGTATTTTTATCAATTATTGTTCATTGAACGGGAGTTGGTTTTGTTCCCCTTGAAAAGTCAACTAATTTCCGATCAATGACAATGATTACATGTTTTAATTTTCCTTTTACAATTGAAATATTATTCTTCGTGATGATTTAACTCCAGTCCCCGTTAAAACATTATTAACATTTTGCTTTCAAATTAACTTCAAAACATCTTTCAAAATATAACTTACCAGTATGGATGCACACTTTTAAATAATTCTACTTTAATTAAACTTAGGAGATAATATAATCAATTAATCAATACTGTTTAGGAAATAAATTATTATTAATTAACTTTGCAGCAATTGCGCAAGTAATAATAACTTGTATTCGCACTAAATGGATTTAAGATCATACAACATTTGATATGCTAAATAGCAGCTATTAGCGCTATTTATCTCTTACCTAATGTACCCACTTTATATATTATCTCCATCCTTTTTAAGTTTTAAAATTCTTATACAAAAACTTTACTGTATTGAAGGTTAGCAGCCTCCTTACTTTTATATCTTGCTAGTAATAATTACATGTTTTAATTTTCCTTTTACAATTGAAATATTATTCTTCGTGATGTGATTTTAATTCCAGTCCCCGTTTAAAACATTATTAACATTTTGCTTTCAAATTACTTCAAAACATCTTTCAAAATAAATTACCAGTATGGATGCACACTTTTAAAATAATTCTACTTTAATAAACTTAGGAGATAAAGAATCAATTAATCAATACTGTTTAGGAAATAAATGATATATATAATATATATATATATAATATACTTGGGAATTAAAATGAATGTAAAAACGTAAAAGGTATCTTCTTCTCCACCCAAAGGTTTCAGAAACCAACAATCGCCACCAGAAGATGATGAGCCATCTGATCCACCGCCAGAAACAAGTGACGCTCCAGATCTATGCCAAGATGCATCAATAGATGCTGTCACTAGAACACAAGATGGTAGTAGCTACGTATTTAAAGGTGAGATTTAAAACATATATTTTCGATTTATTATTTGAAAAGTAAAATTTTTTTTAATTTTTCTGTATCAAAACATGTACTACAAAAATAAAACGTTCTCTAGCAGACAGATAAAGACTCCTGAGCTAAGAAATATTGGTTAAAATTTAACTTTAAACAGGTATAGCACACAAACATATACGGATAACTGTAATTATCAAGCATAAAAATAATTTCTTGCGTGATGGGAAGAATTTCTGTTATTGTTACAAATTTAGGCAGAATGCTTCCACAGGAATATTTATTTCTGTATTGTAACCTGAAGTTTTGGAATAGTACAGTAGATCATCCATATGATATGTTTAATAATATGAAAAAAATAACAGATGATAAATAGAAATAACTCAAAGTCAAAACCATGCACAAAGAAAAGCGGATGGCTAAAATACTGATCATAATAAATACTACATTTTCATCCCTCTATTGTAGATCTAGCAGCATGCGATCTTATTGTCCAGACAACTTTTGAAAAGGTGACATTTTAGTTTGAACTAGATATTCTTACATAATAATATTGATAATAACAATACAAAAGGTGCAATTTTTCTCTCTGGAACTTCCCCAGATTTATAATAAGCATTTATAATAAGCATTTATCAAAAGCACGACTAAGTAGTAATTGCTCAAACCTTTCAGATTTCTATCCATGTATGCCTCTTTTCCTAACATATTTTTATGAGTAAAATTATTTGCAAAACTATAGTATATCTTATAACATGAATTGCCTCGAAAAAGAAGCTCTAATGGAAAAGTAAGATTACAGAGGCAAGTCTGTTTAACATTGACGTAGATGGTTATCTCATTAAATTGGCGAGATATCGCCAAGCTGGAGAGATATCTTTAATTTAACCAGATATCTTTGACTTTTGTTATTAAACTTGGGAAGAAATCACCATAAGTCGCCAAACTTGGCGACATTAGAGTCCGGTCCCTCTATAAATGTAATCGGTACCGTAATTGAATAACTGTAATTGATCCCTACAGTTAACTGTAACCGTACATGCCTTTCAACAATTTCGAGAAAAAGGAAGTACAGGAAATTTCCCGGCTTCCTGGAAACTATATAAGCAGTTTTCAGTTTCAGAGAGCGCAACAATTCTCAGTTTTTAGTTCAGAGTTAAATCTCCGTGCGAGCTTCGCTCTTAACTTACGCTTTGCATTACCTTCTGTTTAACTTTCTCAGTAGTTTAAAATTTGTAGCTGCTGATTGTGCTCTGTCATACTAAGAAAATCTGTATGAATACTTTTGCAAAGTTCTAGAACGATAAAGTATATCTTTTGTGAAAATAAATTTTATCAATCTATCATCGGTTCTGCATGCATTCAAATAATTTAGAACCGTACGCAAGCAACAACATGTAAAGGATGGCATTGAATTGAAAATCGACAAATTTTGCAAATGAACTATTTTCGAACTTTAATTTGTAAAAAAATTCCGAGTCGCTTGTGAAGAACCTCTAGAGAATTTTAAAATGTTAGTTGAAGATGGTAAAATATCCACTAAGCTTGTTAATATTTCAATCACAATTACACTTATCTTATTCCCTTCTCTTTCCGAAGCCTTCCAAAAATGCGCATCTTAAACATCCTGCTTTAAAAACATGCATCTGAATAGATTATCTTTATCGAAAAGAAATCAGCAACAAGCAACACAGTGGTAGTAAACGAACGTTTCTAAATTCATGCCATATTACTCATCTTTGACATATCTATTTTTATACTTAATTTTAAAACTTTCTATCCTTTTTATACATAATATTTGATACACTATTGATTGCTTTCTTTGTTAAATGTAAAAATTTAGAATTTTAATGTTAGAATTTTAATGTTTCATTCGATAAAAACGAGCAAACTAGTGCTCAGAATATTTCGCAAGTATTCAAACAGTCTATTAGAGATCAATACCAGGTTACCAAGTTTATTAGCAATTTATTTTATTAAGCCATATCTGTCATTTTAATTCTCTTTCAATCTGTACTCATTCTAAAACTTCTGTACATTAAATTATCTATGTAACATTTTTAACGACTCAAAGAAGATGGCATTGTTTTTTAACTGTGAATTTCATTCTATGGAACGTAAGAACTATTACCACTTCACTAGCAAAGAACATATATTGCAAGACTCAAATGATGCAATGAAAAAAACTGCACAGCTACGTCTTGAAGAATTTTCTTTATTAAAGAAGTATAAAAATCTCTGCGCGACATACGGATACTGCAGCATACAATAAGATTGAACTTATAAGTACGGAGCACACGAACGCTAGATATCGGTATACAGACATGCCATACACAGATACTGAAATACATATTACGTCAATTATGTTAGGCAAAGAAAAAAGAACAAAATGAGTGAACATTTAGCTGCGAAGGCACTAGCATATACCTGTAAAATTAATGCCAGGGTTCTGCATGAATTAATCTTCTGTAGAGGCGGTCGTGTTAGAGTGATGGTATTCGGTAACAATATTGAATTATGTTTATACGAAAACTAGTCGCTTTCAAAGGTAAAAGCTATGTAAGGTTTCACTATGTTATGAAAATCGCATTATGTTCTAGCTATTTATTTTACCTCTAATCCATTGAACCATTTTTTTTTTCTGTTGTTGTTTTAGAGTGGCATTTATGCTTTTTAGATTTCTAATAAATCTCTTTTTTTTTTAATTCGTAGCATATCTAACACCATCTTATTTATTAAGGTGAATTTTACTGGAAAATTCTCGATAATGCCATCGTCGACGGATATCCAAGAAAAATATCTGAAGACTGGGATGGATTAGAAGGAGATTTAGATGCAGCCTTTACGTGGTCAAATGGGAAAACTTATTTTTCAAAGGTAATATGCATTTAAAGATAAACCCTTATAAGGTATTTTCTCCCTCCTTTCTGGATACCTTCGTGGTGTAACGGTAGCACACTTGACGGGTATTCGAGAGATCCAGGCTCGAGTCCCGCCGAGGGCATTGCTCATTGTTCATGCCTTCTGCTTCAAAATAACCTAATAACTCTATAGTGTCAGTCGAACTAAAATGATGGTGGATAATGATTCTTTACGTCAGGATTTGACGACTGGGTTCCCTAATCATCCTCAATGGCCCTTTAAAAAGGGGAGTATATATAAGGCATTTTCTCCCTCCTTTCTGCATGCCTTCGTGGTGTAACGGCGCGTATTCGAGAGGTCCAGGCTCGAGTGCCGGCGAGGGCATTGCTCATTTTCATGTCTTTTGCTTCAAAATAACCTAATAACTCTACACCCTGCAATACAAATGAACTGCAGTCTATGGTTTTCAATAATAATAGCATAACTTAGTATAATTAAGAATTTTAAATAACGCAGCAATTTTCAATGCGTTTCTTCATATCTATGAGCACAAATTGCTTTCTTTTATTTCCGGTTCCCTGGTGAACAAATCAGAACTGCTTGTTTTTTAGCGTCCTATTTTTGTTTTTAGTTACTTTTTTATTCCGACATTATAATTTTTTGTATTAGTAGATTTTTTTTCAGAAGATTCATATGTGTTTCACTTAAATATTTGTAGATCCCATACGAATTCACAGAATCAATATTTCGTATTTTTCATTTTTTATGTATATACAATGTAGTTCAAATGATCTTAAACAAACTTTAAAGTTTGCTCGGAAATATAGAAACAGACCATTTTTACATTAGCATGTAGCCGCATATATCCCTCTGTTATGCTGCATGTGCATTGCTTGCTGGAAATTACATCGAATAGAGCGAATTATTATTATTCGAAGCGTTGATTTTACAGGATGGAAATATTTTCTTTATCACCACCGCAATCACGTAAGCAGACTCTTTTCAGTTCTTCATTTGGGATTACCTCAAAAGCCTCGAGTGGCAGTACTTCGTTGCGTCTGATACTAACGTCGTCGCAAGAGTCGTTGGAGAAGCCTTATATTTTTGGACAAGCACGCGTCGACGTTGCGAGGCACGCAATGCAGTGGATGGAATGAACCAAGTTCAGTAGAGAAACGAGGTTACACTCTTCTCAGTTGTGATGTAATTTACTTACAAAAGTGTGCTTTTGAGCAAATTAGGAATCAATGACGTCACACAAGAGAAAAACCGTATATTATAGTAACCTTGGAATGAACTTCTTCGGGAACTGTAAACATTGTACATATGTTTAATAGACATGTTTTATAACCTTACTTGATTTCTTTTATCTTTCTCTTTTCCTTATCTCTAGCATCTACAAGATGCGTTTGAGAACACACATCCCTACATAAAACTGCTTTATTTCCAATGCCCTAAAAAATTTAGTCTAACACCGTTCGAACCGACCTGTATATAGAGTGATTAAAAAATAATCTGGAAAAAATGTAAAGGCAGCTAGAAAGGACCGAAAGAAGCTCATTTTGCAATGTAGTATGTGGGCGGAAAATGGTATGTTGAGGTGGTACAGAGTGCTATTAAGCGGTTAGATAAAACTTTTCTGCTGGCGTAAATTGTCATTCTGCTTTGAGCAGCTGCTCCATTTTCGTCCGCAAGCCCCTAGATCAGCGATTCTCAACCGGTAGTATGCGTACAACTGGTGGTACGCAAGAGAAAAATAGGTGAATAGAAACAAGATATATTTGACTATTAAATTCAAAAATGAAATGCCCCAATACCCTGTTTAAGTTTTTTCTCTAACGCTCGGAAATTTATGCGATCTGAGCGTTGTTCAAGATCATAGACTTTAGCAAAATAATTCGTTTTTATTTTCATAAATATGCTTTTAGCCATATGCATACCAAAATTTCTCATAAAAGATGTTTTTGAAAGGAGTAATAGGAATGGATGTTGTATGTTGTATTTAATAGGAAATAAAAAATAAGTTCCTATAGAAAGTTCCTATATATATTATTTCGCTAATTCTAATTAATCTCATTAATAATAGTATCTCGTTACCTACACTTTATCTCGCGACCGTTTCCTGGTTCATATTGCTCTATTTTTAATTTGATTAATTTTTACGTCGATTTGCTGTCTCTAACAGCAGGTATTTTGAAGAACTCATAATATATTGTGCATTTAAATATTTGTGAAAAAGTAATAAAACAAACCGAGCTTATCAAAATGAAAAAATGTCTAAGATTGACTAAGCGAAAAAGTGATGATTCACAAGTGATGGATCCAGGAAAATCTATAAAGACTAAGAATATTAAAAGGAAAAGAAAAGTTGCTTATAGAAATTATAATGAAAGTTTTTTATCATTTGGGTTTACTTGGAATGGAGATAAAATGGACCCTCAAACTCAATGGGTTGTTTGCGGTGAACTGTTATCCAATCAAAGTATGAAACCATCGTTTCTTAAAAGACATCTTGGATCTAAGCATTTAAAGGATAAATCTGAAGAATATTTTAAGAGGAAATTATCGGAGTTCAAAAATAGAAACAAATAATGAAATGTGTTGTTATTTCAAGTGAAAAAGCTTTGGCAGTTATTTACTTAGTAAGCCTAAGAATTGCCGAGACTAGGCAGGCTCACGCTATTGAAGAAAACATTTTATTACTAGCAGCTAAAAATTACGTTTTAACATTAAAACATTAAAAAGTGGCTAATGAAATTTAAAACTAACATTAAAAACATTAAAGATTTTAATATTAAAATGCGGATAAGGAACTTAATAATAGTCCTTTATTAAATGATATGGTAACTATGATGTAATAATTAATGAAATGGCAAATTCCATAAAAGAGGCACTTATTCCAAAAATAAAACACAGTGAGTATTTCGCATTGCAGTTGGATGAAAGTACTCATATAACGAACTTTATTAGTTTACATACGTTTCGAAGAAGAACGAATTGCCGAAGAGTATTTATTTTGTGAATCTCTTCATGATAGAGCAACTGCAAATGAAATTTTCAAAGTAATTGACAATTTTATGTTTGAGAAGGGTATGCCTTGGAATAAGTGCTTTGCCGTTTGCAGTGACGAAGCTCGGGCTTTAAAAGATAAACAATCCGGTGTTATTTCTCAAATAAATAAAGTCGCGTGTAAAACCAAATTTACTCATTGTCCCATTTATCGTGAAGACTTAGTAGCCAAGATAATCCCCGAAACTTGAAAACAGTTTTGAATCAAGCTGTTAAAATTGTTAATTTTATTAAAAGCCGAGCTTTTAATTTAAGACTATTTACGACTTCATGCCAAGAGATGGGCAGTGAACATGAAACGCTTTTGTTACATTCCGAAGTAAGATGGTTATCCAGGGGCAAAGTTTTAAATCGTCTTTTTGAACTTTGATCAGAAATTCAAATTTTCCTCTGTGATTCAAAATTTGAATTGAAAAATTGCTTAGTTAGGGAATTATGGTTATCGTATTTATCATATTTAGCTGATATTTTTAGAAAGTTAAAAGAATTAAATTTTAATATTACAAGGACAAAGCGTTAATTTGTTTACCATTAAAGACAAAATAAATGCAATGATAAAAAAATGGATTTAATATTCAAAGACTTGGTTATTGAAAATAAGAGAAGAATTAGCATCCGACATTAAAAATCATTGTTTTTCCATAAATAAATAATTCCAAGGTGTATTTTCCCGAGGATTATTAAAACGAAAATTGCATTAGAAATCCGTTTTGTTCAAATGTATTTGAAATTTTATCTCATGAAGGAAAAGACAAATTAAGAGAAATTTCCTGTGATCGAACTCTAACTGGAGACTTTAAAAGTAACTTACTTGGTAACTTTTGGCGGAATAAAAAAAAAAGAATTTAAATGCATTTCAAATAAAGCTATTAAACTTTTATTGTCTTTTTTAAAACTTATTTGCGTGAACAAGGTTTTTTTTCCATGTTATATTTGAAAACTAAATACAGAATAAAATTAAAATGATCCTAATTTATGGTTAAAACTAAGTGAAATAAGACTAGGAATAAAGAAATTGGTCACTTTTAAATAGGCGCAAATTTCGCACTAAGTTTTAGAATTAAAGTATTATAACTTAAATTTTGATAATTAAAATGGTAACCAATTTTTATGTGTGCATATTGAATACAACAAGCCTATAGGTTATAAATATATTATATAATATATTTATAATAAATAATATATGTTATAAATATTATATATATATAGGTTATAAATAAAGAGTAAGTAATACTCTAAATAAATAAATAAAGTATATATATATATATATAACTATAATCTTTATTTATTTATTAGTATTACTACTCTTTATTTATTCTATATATATATATTATTCTATATTGTAAGGATCTTAAGTTTTACTAACGTTTATTTTATTTTAAATCTTTACTATCACTTCTTATTTTCTACTTCCGGCCAGAATTATAAGCGTGAAGGATTTTATGCAAAGTTGTCTGGCGAACGCCAAGTATTTAAGTGTGGCCTTTTTGCCAAGCAGAGAGAGAGGAAGCAGTGAGTTCGAAGCAGGCAGGCCGCTTACCTTAGAAGTTACGCAGTTGCTACTTTGCCTTCCAGGCCAGAGGTTTTAATCCTCTTGATAAATTAAACGTATTGTAGTGTTCACAGTCTCTGTGCTACATACGCTTCCTGTTATTATAAGGCCAATCTTATTCTAAAGTTAAATTAGAGTTTAGTTTTATTTTTTATACCTTTTACGTTAGACCCCGAGTGGAGGGTCATTGTATTCCGAAGTACGGAAGTCATTGTATATAAAGAAAAATAAAGGGTTTTGTATACCCTTCGTCTGTATCCTGTCTACTTACTACAATTAGTGAACATAGCTTTAGTAAGCTCTCTGTTCCTAGTCAGGTCATTGTATGTTTCCGAAGAAGGTTAGAAGAAACATTGAACCTGATAGTGGCGCCCCGACGAAGAATAACCATGGC